TTATCAAAAATTATCTTCCATCCTTTTCATGATGCCTACTAAATCATTGGTTAGAAATGGTAGCCCTTGATTTCTAGATAACTTCCATGAAAATCTGGCATAGCTCGATGAAATATTTTAGATTATGTGAAAATCAGTGACATGCTTCTCTTTAGCAGATCAGAGCCCTTAATCTTCAATGAGTGTAATGCATTTGAAGCAGCTTGTTATTGAATCACACCATGGCTAACTTGATGGTTTTCAGTTTCTAGTGAGCTGAAAGAAATAGCTGAGTTTTAACAATCACTTTTCAAGAATTTTTATTATATCTTTTCTTCTCTAGGCAGAAGAGATTCAATTCAACCAGTATTTGAGTCCATAACATTGGTTTTAGGGTAGTATCATGATAGAATGGAAAGAACACTGGTTCTAGAGTTAGAAGACATAGGTTCTAATGTTTTATTAGTTATTAGCCCTTTACCGTGTCTTTAAGTCATTTAATCTTAGCTGGACTTCAGTATTCTTAACTGTAAAAGTGAGGGGAGTAGAACTAAAAGCCAAGTTCCCTTTTAAACAAAATGTCTATAATCCTAAAATATCATTTATGAAAGAAGGGGATATTAAATAAAATGGGGAGATATTGTGCCTGTCTTTCACATAATCTGGCTGAGGAAAAGAAATTTAAACTCATGAAATGGTAAATTGCACAAGTAGGAAGCATAGGAGTTGGTATCAAAACATGTGCCTGATCAAGCTGTAAGCACTCCACCATGTCTCTTCAGCTGCCTTCATGGGCATTGGAACAAATTTGTTCTTTGAACAAAGGGTCCTTTGGTAGCATGAGATGGGTTTTTTTTGGCAACTATGTCCACCAAAAACTACAATCTAGATGCCTCCATCAAGCCCAGAAAACTTCATTTCAAAAGATCCCTTCAGCACAGAAATAAAATTTGGAAAGTACCCTCAGCTTCTGTGATCCTTCCCTCTTACTGAATGGTTCCTGTCAGAATTTACATTTAAAAAGGACACCTAGACAAACCATCTCTTTATTTCTCACCAGGCTGACATCTGGACTCTTCTATCACGCTTTGCTCCCATGGTGGGTAATTCTTCCCTAACACCTTTTATGGCTTCATTTTATGCATTCTCTTCCTCTACTAGAATATAAGCTTCTTAAGGACAGGGACATTGTTTATTTTGCTTCATTGGTACACCCAGCATTTAGTACAGTGCCTGACATATAATAAATGCCTGTTAACTGGTTGGCTAGTTCATTTTTGTTTCAATTACTAAACTAGAATAAAATAGTGCCTCTTCAGAAAGAGATAGGAACTCAAAAAATAATTACACAGTAGTGTCACAAGTCCAGCCTCTAGCCTTCTGTTGAGAAACATTTCTTTTCATTTTCTTTGCTTCCTTAATACTCCTCTGTGACCTCTCGCTCAAATTAGAATTCAATACATTATCACTCTTTCTTATGACTCACCTTCACTTGTTCTCTTCTTTTATCAGCCCCAGCTAACTGTCAACATAGAAATAAAGCTTTATTCTCTTTGTCTCAGGAATAATTACCCACATTTAGTTCAATGATCCACTCAGAGCCAGAGGGTTCAAAGAAAATAATTACTTTAATAAAAACATATCCAATGACCCTGAAAAAAAAGGCAAACAAAACATTCCAGAGAGTCATTTCAGATGTACTTTCACAGAACAATAAAAGTAGTTTCTATATGTTCCTTCCTGAAAGGAGCACATTAGTGTTCCTACAACATTGGCGTGGCGTTTACTTTCTTAACATGGAATTTCATCATAGGTGGTTACAATTCTACCCTAACTTACTTCTTCATCAGTGAATTTGTAGGCCCAATAATCTTAAAGTGTTCCTTATTGAATACCATTTAGACAAATGTCAATTAATCAGTGAAAAGGCTTTATTTAGTATCACTTTGTGCCAGAAAGTATGGAAGCTGCTAGATATACAAATATTAAAATGAATCCGTCCCTGCTCCTAACAAGTCACAATCAGGAGAAAAAAAAATGTCCATATAATTAGATATAAAAAATGAATGAAGGAAATATATATATATATATATATATATATATATATATATATACATATATATGTGTATAGATATGTATGTATAGATATATATATATGTATACACACATGCATATATACATATACATATACATATATGTGTTACATATACACACACATGTATGTCTACATACACATACATGTATATATGTGTATTACGTGTGTGTATCTATGCACATATATGCATATATATGCATATACATTTTTATTTTTTGGGGGGAGAACAACTGCAGGAATCAGGAGAGTGTTTATGTGTTAGATGGCATTTTAGCTGATCTTTGAGGAAAACTGAATTCTAAGAATTTTAGATGATGCAGAAATGAACTTCAGGTTTGGGGGATGGACTATGTAAAGGCACAAGGATCAGACATGAAATACCATGTTTGGGGAGCCACAAGGAGGCAAGTTCCTATGGACCATAGGGTGCATGAAAAAAAAAAGCTGAAGTAGGTCTGGAAATATAGGTTGGAGCCAAGTTGAGAAAATTTTAAAATATGAATGAGTTTGTATATTATCCTAGAGACAATGGGCAGCATTTAAAACTTTAAAATCTATAAATGCCAAGGAGTGAAGTTTGTATTTTATCCTAAGGCAATAGGAAGACACTGGAACTTCTTAAGGAAGGACCGTTATTGTCGGTCAGGCCTGTGTTTTGTTTTCTACAGTTATTTTTTGTCCTTCCTTTCCCAAGCTATTGACTCTCTTTTGAATATCTCTCATTTCTTTTCCTAATTTTTCTTCTACCTCTCTTATTTGACTTTTAAAATCCTTCTTGAGCTCTTTCAAGAAGATTTTTTGTGCTTGAGAACAGTTCATATTCCACTTTGAGGTTTTGAATGTGGGTCTATTGACAATGTTGTTCTCTTCTAAATTTGTGCCTTCATCTTCCTTTTCCCCATAATAATAATCTATGGTCATTATCTGTTTCTGCTTTCTATTCTTGGTGTTTGCCTATTTCCTGACCCCCCCCCAAAAAAAAAAGGTGAGCTCTCCTGCTGGAGTGAAGGGTGCACTTATCCAAGATTCTTTTCCTGCTCACCTGGGCCTTGCATTTGAATGTTTGGCTCCTGCTTACTCAGGCCCTGCACAGGGATGTTTTGTGGCTTTGTCTCCCAGACTTGTGCTTCCTAGAGTTGTGCTGAAGCCCTGGGTGATTGAGCCCAGGGTGATTGGCTTCTGGAGAATGCCATTTACTATGGTTGTTTTCCAAGCTGGTATCTACCAGTTCTGTTGCCTGTATTGAGACTGTTAGGGGCTCTTGGTGTTGGCACCAGTTGGGGTTTGCCACTAATTTGCTGGGACACCTCCTGGCTTGTACTGCTCCTCCTCCCTCAGAGTGAGAGGGGCCTTTCCCGTTAATCTTCCAACCTTCCTGGGTTAAAAGATTGCCACACCCTATCTTTGGCGTGGCTCAGAGTTTTTCCTGGGTTGATATTTTCTGGGCTTTCAGAGGTCAATAAGGAAGGGTGACAGCAACTTAATTCTTACTCCACCATCTTGACTCCCAGAAGAGGAACTTACCACTGCCTTTTAAAAAGTCGTTCCTGATCTTCAATACATGTGTTTTGGAATATCATTTTGGCATGCCTAGACAGTGAAGAGAATTGAAATAGGTAATGAGTGACATTACATTTCACTTAATAAAGGTTGATCTATCTGGCTTTCATAACTTTCAATGATCCATCCCTACTTTACTCATCCAAATTTTTCTTCTACCAAACTTTAATTTGGGAGACAGTATTGGAGTGTGCCAAGTGTGCTGCATTTGTAGTCAAAGAATTTCCATTCATATGCTAGTTCTGCCACTTAGTCTAGCCTACAAATTTGGACGTTAGCTAACATATCTGTCTTAATTTCTTCATTTTGAAAATTCAGCAATTAGAAAAGATGGCCTTGAAGTTCTCTTCCAACTCTAAATCTTTGAAACAGAACCTTTCTAGTCCCATCAAACTATTAATATCACCATATTGTGGAAATGCAATGATAATTTCTGATTAGCAGTTTAAAAATTAATTTTCCCTGCATAAGCATTTATTTTCTTTTTTAAAATATATTTTCTTTATTTTGATAAATATTTCTCAATTCCATATAAAAGTTTTTAAATGACTTTTAAAAAAATTTGAGTTTCCGTTTTTCCCTCCTCCCATTCATCCCTCCTCCCTAAGAAGAGAAGAAATTTGGTATTAATTATACATGTGAAATCATGCAAAATATATTTCCATACTAGCCATGTTATGAAAGAAAACACAGCCAAAAAAACCCCAAGAAAAATAAAGTTTAAAAAAGTATGTTTCAGTCTGCATTCAGAGTTCATCAGTTCTCTCTCTGGAGGTGGATAGAATTTTTCATCATGGGTCATTTGGAATTGTCTTGGATCATTGTCTTGATCAGAGTAGCTAAGTCTTTGATAACTCATTATCCTTATAATATTGCTCTTACTGTGAGCAATATTCTACTAGTTCTTCTCATTTCATTTTCATGAGGTTATATAAATCTTCCTAGTTTTTTTTTCTGAAAACATTCCCTTCATCACTAGCAGAGTAGCATTCTATTGTAAGCACAACTTGTTCAGCCTTTCCTCAATTGATGAGCATCCCCTAGATTTTCAATGCTTTGCCACCACTAAAAGATTTCCTATAAATATGTTTTGTGCTAATAGGTCCTTTTTTTTTTTAATTACTTTGGGATACACACCTAGTAGTGGTATGCAAATTGTTCTTCAGAATCTCTCTCTTTTTTTTTCCTTTTTTCTTTTTCTTTTTTTTTTTTTTGTGGCCGTGATTGTAACCATTCCTTTATTAGGACTGCTGACCAAAATTTTTAAACAGCCATTCATGATCAGAATTCTCTGGTTGATGAAACCAATTTAAATAGGATTGTTATGATACATGTAAAATAAGAAAAGCAATCTGATCATGAGAGACATCTCCTTTTTATAATAAATAAGGCAGCAGACAACTATTACTCATTGGTGGCCTTCTTAAGGTATGCTATCAAGTCTGCCCTTTCTCCCTTCTTCTTAATGCCTGCGAAGATCAGTTTGGTTCCAGGGATATACTTCTTGGAGTTTTCCAGGTATTCCATCAGCGTATCTCCTCCCAAGATGGTACCTTTGTTCTTGTTGGCATCTGTGTAGGAGAAGCTGGGAGACTGGCTGTTCTTTCGGCCAAAGAGGCCATTCAGATTGGACCCTGTCTTGTGCTTACTCCCCTTCTCGATGGTGTGGCACTGAGCACACTTCTGAACAAAGATCTTCTTGCCCTTCTCCATGTCACCCATGGTGAATTTGGCTCGGCTCGCAGCCCAGCACTCATCCGCTCTGTCGCCACCTTGCACTGACTCGCACTGACTCGCGCTTCCTCTGCCCAAGGACACGCCCTACCCTGTTCTTCAGAATCTTTAGAGTCGTTCACAACTCTATCAACAATGCTTTAGGGTCTCAATTTTCCCACATTCCTTGAGCATTTTTTTCTGTAATGTTAGCTTTTGTTCTCTTTGTTCCCTTTCTAAATTTTCTTTTGTTCTTTGCTTTGCATTTTTTTCTTTCTCTCTCCAAAGGCTACCATTAGACACAAATACATGCACATGCACACACATACACTTGTGTACCTACATGCATATATACATATATGTGTAAAATTATAATATAAAAATTATAATATAAATATAATATAAAATTATAATATAAATATAAATAAAATAAATTTAAAATAAATAAAATAAATAAAAATATAATATAAATAAATATAATATAAATAATAAATCATTTTTCCACTTTTGGTGTGGATAACATTTTCCTTCATAGATTTTTTCTGTAGTTTATTTGAGTATTTATAATATCTTTAAGACCTAGAATTAAGTATAGGCAATGGAGTTGCCACATACCATCTATTCCTCCACATAGTACTAGTACAAGGATCCCCTATAATCTCATTGTGACCAGTTGTCAGAGCTTTTTAACCTTCTCTGGCTTGGCTTGTGTTTCTGTCGCTACCACCTAATGATTGAAATGTAATTGTTAATCACAGGATAGTTAGTGTTGTTTCACCTATAACCAGAAACACATTGACCTGTCACCTTGTATACATTTGGAGGAATTATCTTCCAAAATTACTAACTAGAAATATTGTAATACAAAGCATTAAGGATATCACTGTCCGAAGCTGTTTGTTTGGGGGATAAAAAGAATCTCTGTCAAGAAGAAACTCAAGAAACCAAGTTTCTTAACTTCAAACTATACTAAGAATCTGCTATTGAGATAACATATATGTTTCTAACTCTAGGCAAACTATTTTCACCATATAAATCTTATTGGTAGTGCTCTTGGTGCTCTGTGTTGCCTCAGGTCCTTTCCTCCCTTCTCTCTGACTGTCCTTTAGCCCACCCAGACTTCTTGGCTCTTCCAGCTTCCCCACCATGGTCCTCAGGTGTCTAGAACCATGCTTTCAATTAAGTTGCAGAGCTCTGACATAGGAATATTTGAAGTTGATGTTGAAATTGCAAAACAGTCTGTAACTATCAAGACCATGTTGGAAGATCTGGGAATGGATGATGAAGGAGATGATGATCCAGTTCCTCTACCAAATGTTAATGTAGCAAAATTAAAAAAGGGACAGGGTCCAAAGAAAGAATAGAATAAATGGGAGGGCAGGATAGGATTAAGGGAAATAGAGTTAATTTTTCACAACATCTCTACTATGGAAGTGTTTTGCATAACTGCACATGTATAACTTATATTGAGTTGCTTGCCTTTTCAATGAGGGTGGGTGGGAAGGGAGGAAGGGAGAAAATTTGGAACCCAAAGTTTTAAAAATGGGGCACAGAAGTCTATCCTGCCCTCCAGGAAAATAGAAGGGGAGGGGGATAAGAGAAGGGGGGGGAGATAGAAGAGAGGAGAGACTAGGGGAAGGGATGGATATTCAGAATGTATGCCATCTTGGGGTGGGGGGAGAGGTGAGATGGGGTGAAAATTTGGAACTCAAAATCTTGTGGAAGTAAATATTGGAAACCAAAAATAAATTTATATTAAAAAAAAGAGACAACAAATCCCTAAAAAATACAATTGGCCAGGGACAGCTAGGTGGCACAGTGGAGAGAGCACTGGCCCTGAAGTCAGGAGGACCTGAGTTCGAATCCGGCCTCAGACCAGACACTTGACACTTCCTAGCTGTGTGACCCTGGGCAAGTCATTTAACCCCAATTGCCTCACTAAAAAAAAAAATACAATTAGCCAACTAGAAAAAAGTACACTGAAGAAAACAAGTCACTAAAAAATATAATTGGCCAAATGGGAAAGGGGGTACAAAATCTAATAGAAGAAAACAGTTTGTTAAAATTAGAATTGGGTAAATGGACACTAATGACTCTATTAGAGAGCAAGAATCAGTCAAACAGAAACAAAAGAATGAAAAAAATAGATGAAAATCTAAAATACCTCATTGGTAAAATAGCTGACCTGGAAAATTGATCCAGGAGAGCCAGTTTAAAAAATTATTGGTCTACTTGAAAATTCACAATGAAAAAAAGAGCTTGGAGAGTATCTTTGAGGAAATCATCAAGGAAAACTACCCTGAGGTCCTAGAACTATAGGGTAAAAATAGCCGTAGAAAAAATCCACAGATCACCTCCTGAAGGAGATCCCAAATTGAAAACACCAAGGAATATAGTAGCTAAATTCCAAAATTACCAGGTCAAAGGGAAAATATTGCAAGCAGCCAGACAGAAACAATTTAAATATCATGGAACCACAGTCAGGATTACACAGGACCTTGCAATTTCCACATTAAAAGACCATAGGACATGGAATATGATATTCCATAAGGCAAAGGATCTTGGATTACAACCAAGAATCAGCTGTGCAGTGAAAATGAGCATGATCTTTCAGGGGAGGAGATGGGTATTCAATGAAATAGGAGACTTCCATACCTTCCTGATAAAAAGACTAGAGCTCAACAGGAAATTTGATATTCAAATACAAGACTCGAAAGAGACATAAAAAGGTAAATGGGACAGAAAGAAAAAATATATTATTAATAAGGGCAAACTGTTTACATCTCTACAAGGAAAGATGACACTTATAACTCTTGAGAACTGTATTGTTATTATACCATGTTAAAGGGGTATGCATAAACGGGGTGGGAATAAATTGACTTTAATGTAATGATGAAAAAAATCTAATCAAGTGGGTTAAATAGATCCAATAAAGTGGATTAATCTGATCTAACTAAGAAAATGTATTGAGAGAAAAGGAAAGGAGGAGGCAGACAAGTCTAAATTATATCACAGGAAAAGTCACAAAAACCTATTATAGCAAAGGAAAAGAAGGGAGGGAGACGAGCACTGTTTGAAAATTACTCTCATCTGATTTGGCTGGAGCAGGTAATAATATAATCAGTTAGGTATAGAAACCTAACATGCCATATAGGCAGTAGGAGGGAAAAGGGGAAAGAAAAGGGAGGGGAGATAGAAGGGAGGGAAGAAGTAATAAGGGTAAAGGAGAAGAAAAGGGAGGGTGTTAATAGAAGGGAAGTGGGACTGAGAGAGGCGGTGGCAAAAAGGAAAACATTAGGGAAGAGGAAAAAGGAAAAAGGAGAAAGAAAAGCATAAATGGGGGGGAAAGGGTGGAGAGAAAGACACAGATAGCAATCATAACTGTGAATGCGATATATGAATGTAATGGAATAATAAGAAATGATGAATAGGGTAGAGCCAGGATGGCAGAGTAAAACCAGTGACTCTCCCCCAAACCCTTCCAAATAACTGTAAAAAATGTCTCTAAACAAATTCTACAGCAGAACCCACAAAAAGACAAAGTGAAACAAATTTACAGCCCAAGATAACCTGGATGGTTGATCAGAAAAGTAAATCATGCCATGTGGGGAAAGGAGCGCAATTTTTCAGCATGGGTGTGCAGGCAAAACAGGCCTCAGTGAACCTGGACCAGGTCTGAATCACTGGCAGCTGTGGTGGTTTCCAGACTTCTCAATCCACAAACAGCAAAGCCAACCTAGAAGGTCATTGGAAAAAGTCTGTGACTGTGGTGTGAGAGAGAAGCAAGGTCCCAGCCCCAGTCCCCAAGCTTGGCCCCGGGACTGCAGCTGCTTCTGGGGCTTCAGGCACACAGACTGAGGCAGAATCAAGTGGCCAATCAGAAGGGGGTTGTAAGGATCTCTCTGCTGGTGGACAATTTTCTTGCTTTACCCATGCTTAGATCTGGATCACAGTTCTGGGTGGCGATCCTAGGTAGAGAAGGAGTGCTAGCGTGGTGGAGATTGTAGGTGAAGAGGAAATCCTCCTCACAGTTCCAAGGCAGAAAAGAGTGCTTGTGGTCACTCATAGAGCAGAGCACAGGCCAGGAAAGGAGTAAGCACCTTGCCGCTTATCATACCACCTTGAAAGAACTGAACATTTACATGTCTCTAGAAGTATCTCTGAAAACAGCTGCACAAAGCCCCTGAAGCTTGGGGCAATACATTCTCCACACTGGAAGCAGACCCCTACCATAAGAAAGAGTTTTAAACTCAAATAGTTGTCTGGGATCATGAACAAACAAAGGTCAAAAAAAAAATCAGACCATAGAATCTTTCTTTGGTAACAAAGGTCAAAACAGACAGCCAGAAGAAGACAACAAAGTCAAAGCTCCTGCATCCAAAGCCTCTAAGAAAAATATGAATCAGTCCTAGGCCATGGAAGAGCTCAAAAAAGAGTTTGACAAACAAGTAAGAGCAGTTGAAGAAAAATTGGGAAGAGAAATGAGAGTGATACGAGAAAATCATGAAAAACAAGTCAGCAGCTTGCTAAAGGAGGCCCAAAAAATAATGAAGAAAATAACACTTTAAAAATAGCCTAGGGGCAGCTAGGTGGTACAGTGGATAGAACACTGGCCCTGAAGTCAGGAGGACCTGAGTTCAAATCTGACCTCAGACCAGACACTTGACACATACTAGCTGTGTGATCCTGGGCAAGTCACTTAACCCCAATTGCCAAAAAAAAAAAAAAAAAAAAGTAGCCTAATCCAAATGGCAAAAGTGGTCCAAAAAGCCAATGAGGAGAAGAATGCCCTAAAAAGCAAAATTGGCCAAATGGAAAAGGAAGTCCAAAAGCTTACTGAAGAAAATACTTCCTTAAAAATTAGAATGGAACAATTAGAACCGGGAGAATATTGTACACAGTAGCAACCACATTGTGTGATAAGTAATATTGATAGACTTAACCCTTCCCAGCAATACAAGGATCTAAGACATCTCCAAAGCCCTCATGAGGGAAAATGCTATCCACAT